TTATCTTGAACTTATTTGCTTCCGCTTTTATTTATCAAACTTGGTTTGTAATAACTTTTATTCGTACTCGATTATGAAAAGTATCATGAACTTTATGTAATATGTGGCATGTATGTTGAATCATATACGATCTTGGTTGTTGTAAATCGTTTATCGAGACCCGTCGTGGTACTCGACGGACTACCGGTTTATATGGGTTTCAAATATAACGGTCACGACCGCTTGCGGATTGCCATTGTACTTGTATTCTTATAAATTGGTCGGTTCTGCGGCGATCTCGATGGATTGACCGGCGATGCGTCGACGCCGAGAGTTGCGAAGAAGGCCTCGATTGATCATGCCATCGCCATCTCGCCAGAGCACGAGTTTTATGAGATCATGAAGTTCCAAATGGCGGGAACACGAGGTAGTAGCTTCGAGTTCTATGCTACTACTGTTGCGTTGAGGATGAGAGGCGGATGCATTGGATGCTTGAGGGCAGATGGTGCAGTGTTGACTATGATGTATTTGCCACCCACCTTGGCTTCTCGAGAGGATGATCTCCAGAGGGGACAGATCCACACCGAAAGCGTGTGTTACCTCCTGAGCAGCTTCGCATATATGTATCCTCCTGGTGGTGAGAGAGGAAGCGATGGGGAAGGTTTTAGGTCTTCACCCTACTTACAGATACCTAGACAAGATGTTCAGGAAGACTATTGACTGCAAGGGTGGAGACAAGGACAACATTGCTGATTATTCCAGGAACCTACTCCACAGGATGGCACCCGATGCTCGGCCCTTTAGCGTGTTTGATTTTATTTGGTCCGAGATCGAGGAGTGTGGGAGAGAGCCCCTCAAGGGCTGTGGTTTTGCTTCTTATATCATGCATATGATTGAGCAGGTGACAGGGCTGCGTTCGAGTATGACAAGATTCACAAGGCCACGAAGATTGTTGCGGATCTGCTGAGACAGATTACCTCCAGGCCAGGACCGGGAGGAGCAAGCGGACCACCAGAGGCGAGATGCACCTAGGAGTGGTGCACCAAATAGGAGCTTCACCTTCACCACGTGCTCCTTCACGTTCTACTTCACGCCGTGGTAGTCCTCCCTCACCTATCCATGAGCTTTTCAACTTCATATTTGGGATGTGCAGAGACATCCGGACCGAGCAAAAGAAGGAGAAGGAGGCTAGGAGGAAGGACACTCGGACTTTGAAGCAAATTGCTTCTAATCTTGAGCTTGATCCTCCTAGATCTCCTCTATCCGATGAGGCAGCTAGTGAGCCTAAGGCCAAGAAGCAGCGGAGGGCTAGATATGATAGAAAGTATGTTGAGTTCATTCAATGACAATGAAGCGGCAGCAGAGCACCACAAAGACCGACACTCTTCCACTTGAGGCTCGTGTGCCTACTCACTCTCGACCACGTCCTAATCTGCATGAGCGAGTATGCTCTGATTGGTGGAGTGACCTCACGGTGGTGGCGGCTACTACGGGTCTAGTGGCTATGACCCGTCCGTAGCAGTGGTTCTCGTTAACCGGTGTTACACGTTCGGATGAGCGAAGATCTTTGGGAGAGATGATGATGATGATCTTTGAGTGATGCCGAGATCGAGATCTGACTTGCAGCCCCTTTTGTCCTTAGTTTGTCATTGTTGGACCTTTGTGGTGATAGATGATAAAGGGGGAGAGAGACTGATTAAAGCTTCGAGATTTTTGTTTCATTTGCTTATCTTTATACCTGAAGATATGTACTGCAGGCTGTAGTTTTTGTTCATGAGCTTCATTGATGTATCTTGAGTTTGAGATTGCATTGTATCATGTGAGAGATGAGACTCACTTATGCTTTATCTATGGATCTATTGAGATATGATCTTTATTATCTGTGGCTTGTGGACTTGAGAAAATGTGTAATGAGTGCTATGTGTGGCATACATGTGTTGTATTTATTTTTCATAAGGTCTATGCATGATAGAATAAAAATATTTGATGTGATGTCTTTATATTTATTCTTGTGTGATATATCCTGTCATATGCATCACAATTCTATTTTATCACACACACATGCACCCCACGGATGCAATGATTTAGGGGGAGTCTCCTATATGTTTTAGTATGTGCAATTGACAAGTTGAGGTCATTTTGTGAATTCCAATCACAAGCACATATTAAGGGAGAGCCTCTTATAAATCATTGAACCCAAAAGCTTAAATGTTTATATTCTTTTGTAAGCTTTAATCAAGTTGTCATCAATCACCAAAAAGGGGGAGATTGAAAGTACATCTAGCCCTTTAGTGGGTTTTGGATGATTGAATGACAACGTGATTAAAGGTCTAACCCGTTTGCTAAGTGTGGACAGATGATAGGTTATCTCACAGGTACTTAATGAAAGCCAAAATGATGTGTTGTTGTATAAACAATCTAGTTCAAGCACAAGACAACAATGCAAATGAAATTCATGTAAAGACTTGTTTATTGTGGGATTTCCATGTACTATGTAAAAGCAAGCTTGTGAGATTTAATTAATGAGACATAAGGGATTGCATATGGAATGGTCTCATATTTGAAGCTTGCTAAATTGAAATGAAAAAGACAACAATACAAATGAATGGATGATTCAACACAAGATGTGACTTGATGGCTTGAGATGGTGAAGATAACAAGGAAAGGCTTCGAGGTACTAAGCAAGGGTGAAGGGCAAGCGACGGCTTGACGGCCGAAGAACCTAGCTAGGGTGAAGAAGAAAGTACTTGCATTTAGTTGAGGTACTAATCAAGCTACGATGGTCATATTGATGTGAAGGATCAAATCACTATTGGAGTGTTTGATAGAAGTGACTTCATACATTTGGGATTATTCAAATTTGATGAATGCAATCAAGGCACGTGCTCAAGATGGCTATGCTCAAGTGAAAAAGATCAATATCAACATGTTGGCACCCTCACTTGATGAAGATTGGAATACACGGCTTCGGTTCAAAAAGAGCAACTCAAAAGGTTTAAACTCGTTATACTTTTAAATTTGAGTAAATAGGAATGCCGTACTATTAAGAGGAATGCATCATGTTGATAGATAATGTTTCATAAGTGCTCAAGCCAACCCATGTGAGTTTTGAGTATTTGAGCGACAAAGGAGCTAACTTTTGTTTTTGCTGGTCTGGCTATACCGGACGTGTCCGATATGCATACCGGACATGTCCGGTATTTGCCCAGTAACTATAAAAGTGTTGTTCTCAGGTTGGTTCGTCGGGAGTTCCGACGTATGTCGGGAGTTCCGACGGTCGGAAGTTCCGACAATGATCGGGAGTTCCGACGTCTCGCAATTTAAATAATTTGGAGAGTTCACTGTCCAGGTCATACCGGATGTGTCCAGTATTCATACCGGACGTGTCCGGTATGGACGACTAGAGGCCAACGGCTAGTTTTCCAAAGCCTTGAGAGTCGAGAGTTCCGACGTAAGTTGGGAGTTCCGACATGTGTCGGGAGTTCCGGCACCTCATATTCTTTAACTCAGTTACATGGTTTTCAAATTTGCTGAGGATCGGGAGTTCCGACGTGAGTCGGGAGTTCCGGCGGTCAGGAGTTTCGGCATTCATCGGGAGTTCCGACGCCTCACAACTTCACTGTAACTTAGTTACCGTTGGGGCAGTGTAAGTCATACCGGACGTGTCCGGTATTGCAACGGCTATAAAACGGCTAGTTTTTCAAGGGGGCTATAAATACCCCCAAGTCTCTACCTTTGGAGGCTGCTGATTCTGCTGATATACACACACGTTTTTGAGCCTTGCCTAGTCTCCTAAACCCTCTCTTAGTGAGTGTGTGATCTAAATTGCAAAATCAATTTGTGGGTTAAGAGAGAATTTGAAAAAGAGAGCAAGCCACCCTTGAGCACTTGTGCATATTGTCAATCTCGTGATTTGCATTTGTTACTCTTGGACTCTTCGGTCCTAGACGGCTAGGCGTCGCCGGAGAGCAACCGAGAGATTGTGGTTGCTTCGAAAAGTTTGTAACGGTCGATTCCGCCGTCTCGGAATCATTTAGTGGAAGGAGGAAAAGGAGTTGGAAAAGACTCCGGCTAGAGTGATCTTCGTGGTACCCTCTAGGGCTGACCTTCGCTGGGTCGCCCGCAGCCCCCTCAACATAGAGTAGGACTTGGACGAGTCCGAACTTCGGTAAAACAAATATCGTGTCTCAATTCGCATTTCATTTGATATTTGTGTTGCTCTAGCTATTCTGCGGGTTCTCTGTGTATATTGTCATCTCCATTAGGTGCCTGCAGTTTGGTTTGAAGATAGAAATCGAAAGGAGCAAGTTCGGGGCGATCTGCGGAAATCGTGTATCTGGGACACGTCCGTATTTCTACTACCTTGAAAATATTTATTCTCTGTTCTAACTTGGTGTTGCGGGGTTATAACTTCTAGATATATTCTTTATACCTTGTTTACTCTGTGGCTAACTTGTGAGGGGTGGTAGTACTCTTAATTTGGAGTTTCCATTTTAGAAACTCCCCTTTCTAATTGTTTCCACATTCAAAGGTGTTAATTTTCAGAAACGCCTATTCACCCCCCTCTGGGCGACATCCTAGGTCCTTTCACAAACCAAGTAACCAACATACAGAAAAGAGTAACAAAAGTTTCAGGGTGCATCCCTTCATTCTAGTAGTAATGGCCCCGTTCGGCTTACCCCATATCCGGCTTCTTCGGCTTCTTTTTTCAGCCGGAACAGTGTTTTTCTCTCATAACATTTCAGCCAGAATAGTGTTTTCAGCCAAGATTCAGCAAACACTAGTCCTGGACAAATCAACTTGTGCACAGTGCACTATCTAGAATTTTGTGACGATTAAATTTCCTAGGAATCTACCCAATATTGCATCTCAGTCTGTTCAATACCCTGTAGATATATCAGACCGACTACCACTTCCACTACAGCTGTTGTTTAGTCTCTTCCTTTTCTGTCAATGGGAACTGAACAAACGTGACCTAGATTCAGTCCCAGCACAAACCACACTTGAGCACAACAAAACTGCTAGCATGAAAAGTTCGACTGCTCTTGAACTTCACCAACTGTAGAGACAAACAAATCAGGTCTAATACAATTAGCATAGAAGCCAGTAATTCACAAGGTTACACAGCAAGCGTACCAGGAAGTTCTACTGCAAAGTTAGCTTGAGCATCAGCAGCCGAGTTATATTCCTGCGAAACAAACGAGGCAGCATGAGTGTCAGGGGTATCATGGTTTAGCTAGTGACATTTTTCCCTCTTTTTTTTTTGATAGAGAGGGACTTTCCGACAAACATTGAATCAAGTTAAAAGGGACTCTTGCAGAAAGTTATGTTTTACTGAAGGGCCTTTCAGATGGTCTTATCAATCCATAGAGAATTAGAGATGCCAATCTAAATGTTTATCAAATAAATAAAAAATCGATATGTATTAGACAGATAGAGGAAATTGCTCCAATAAATATGCTAATTAGCAGTTGAGTACTTGACTCTGAGGCAACCTGAAGCAATCATGAACTGGCCATGCAGCGATCTTGTGTGTCACTTTTCACTACTTCAACCGCAAGAAAAAAAATAGTGCCATGCTAATGCGCACGAAATAGTTGTTATGCAACACCCATACAGTGCCCGAATGGATTTTATTTTCAAGCACGCACGAGAGTTGTGTATCGTTATATTAAGATAAGAGTCTAAGAAGACTCATACAAGTAATTCCAGGTTATGCCACCTTTTTTGAGGGCAGTTTCTGCCATGTGGTATCTTTTGAGAATTGATTATATGTGATGTCAACATAAAACCTTGCATGGCCAGCATAATGGTGCCAGTAGAATATGATATGGCGCAGCACATGAACATGGCAAACTGCAAAGCTGGCTGGTCTAAGAGAAAATTGAACAAGGTCAGAAAACAGAGGAAAGAAGTGACACCTACCCTCAAAACATGCCTGATTTGAAATAAATGAAATGTTCCCTTTAGCTCCTTAACTTTCTTGCACAAGCCAGCCATATTCTCATTCTTAGCACGCCAGAGATCTTGGACCTGCTCCAGAAAGCACAATGTGTTACTTTTGTCAAGAAAAAAATTAACATCACTACAATTTCCAGCTGCTCGAGACTCTCACCTGAAAGCTCTACAAACTAGGTTTCACAACATGTTTATGAAAAAACAGGTTTTTACCAGATTATGTATGCAGAGATTTTGAGATAAAGTCTTTATTTCAATGTGAACTGATTTGAACAAGGGCTCTTTGAACGAAATGATAACAAGAATGAAGAAAATTGTATGGCAAAATCACATTCGAGGTGTTATTACCTTAGTGGAATTTGAAGTCAGAATGAATTGCACAGTGCTAAATCTCTATTGATAGTTCACAGTGGAACAAAGAACATATAAGCTACAAAATAACAAAGCTATCACCACTGACCTGGTTACAGACAAGCTTAGAATCGCCTTGAGCACGAATATACTTGAACCCTTTCTTGGCCGCATATGTCAGCCCTAGGATCAATGCACGATATTCAGCAGCATTGTTGGTTGCAATACCCAGACCCTCACGTAGTTGAGCAATCTTCAGTAAATAAAGATCATAACACGGTAACCAGCTAGGTATGATAATTCAATATAAATAGAACACATCAGTTTAGCTACCAGTTGGCTACATACCACAGAACCATCTATCCGCCTTATTATTGCTCCAGCACCAGCTTTCCCTGGATTTCCTTTAGAGGCACCATCAAATTCAAGAATACAAGAGAGCTGCAAAAAAGGTCAAAACTGCTGATGAGCACAGGTTCATGTATCATCACAGCAAAGATAAGTTGAAAATATACATGTTAGTAACAAACCACAACTACAGAAACGAGCCAATAAACAATGCATAGAGTGCGGGTTACATTATTCATACTCACATGACTATCAGGTAATTCCTGCTCATCAACTTTGGGATGCTTCTTTGATGGTCCGGTTTCCTTGAGAAAATGATTTTTTGGTGCGAGTAAATGAGATATATATAGAGGTCACTTTTGAATGGAAATGGATCACCTATTCACACTTATAGTGACAAAGAAAAAATGCTACTCACAATCTCGTGTGACCTTTTCAATGTAGAGGATGCACCTCCATCAGGTTGCTGAAACCACAAGTAGCACAGTGAACATCTCATGAGATGTTACGCCAAAAGTCAGGTAGTATAAAACTGAATACCATGTACAGAAATGACCACCAATCAGATCCAACTAGTACATAAGATGCAACAATAATTACATAAAAGCAAGCAAACGGTTGGTGGACGCTAACATTGTAGAATCTCCTCACAAAGCGTGGCTCTGAAGCAGCTGGAACTTACAATTACAAGCCCAGAGCATTGTTTGCGTTACCTGGAAAGGGCAGGGAACTAGATCGTCGAACAATTCATCTCGTGCATCTGCTGCGTCAATGGCGTAGAGAGCGTTCCTTAACCCCCGCGCCGCGAGGTATTCCTCGGTGTCTTTACGCAGAGAGCAACCTTTGAAGACAGTGACAGAAGGGTCGCGAACCTAGCAGCAGCAGCAGCAGCAGCGGTAGGGGCATGGTCAGCGACAGCAAGCCAGCAACGGAAGGAAAGTCACGGAAGGCAGAAGGCAGATACCGAATTGCCGACTTGAGCTTGGCATTCGCTGAGGGTCTTGTAGATGCCGATGACGTCCCCCTTGCGGACCACGTAGAAGGGTTCGCCGGCGGGAGCCGAGTCCATTGGCGTCTTTGCGGCGGATCTCTTGGTGGAGCGCCGGGAGGAGGAGGAGGCGAAGAAGCGCGTGGGCGGCTGTGGGAGTGGCGGCGGCGGCACGAGAGGCCTGAGAGCCCAGAAGAGGGGGTAGTGCCTCCTCCACGCCGCTCTGGAAATCAGCAACCCACAGTGGAAAGAAGAGCAACTCCGAATCACCATTAGAGAGGCGGAGAAGCACAGAAGACACACAACGGTGGCTGTGACCGGAGGTGGGGTGGGGCGTAGGGCGACTCCAACCAATCCCTCAAACTTTAACCCCTACACCAAAAAAAATAAGAGTTCATCATCCAAATTGCATCCCTCATTTATCTCTACACTCCTGAACCCTCATTTCAGTCTCCCTATATTTCTTTTACCTATATTTTATATATAACTTCTAACTACCAATTCTAGCATTTTATAGATAAACCGTGTTATTTCAAATTAGTATTATTGGAATAGATATTTGTTAACAATATTTTTGTATGGTTAAATATTGGAGAAATTATTTTTTTCAGATAGTTTACAACTATTATTTTTTGGTTTGTCAGTCTTTGAATGGCTATATATTTGAACCGTCACTCTTCCAACGGCTACAAATCAAACCGTCGCTTTTCCGACAGCTATATTTCAAGTGCTCTATCTCCAACGGTTATATATATATGGTTATTCCATTTCCTAAACCAATTCTGACATTGTGTTGCTGCTTCTCCACTAAAAATGAGAAGTCTCTCTCAACTAGATTCATCTTCCTCGTCTGATGACGGTGATGATGATCTTGAGGACACCCTTACTACATTACACCAAGCACACACTCAATATCAAGCTCTCCATGCTCCACGATGCGGTGGTTCTGTACCTGGACGTTAGTACATTCATCGGGACAGAGAAAATGGGCACCGGAGGTTGTACAATGACTATTTCTCCGAAAATCCAACCTACGGGTGTAAGGTCGAGATGGCGACTAGAGGGGGGTGAATAGTCATTTCTAAAACTTAGTCGCGTCGGCTAACCGAAACAAGTGCGGAATTAAAACTATCGGTCTAGCCAAGACTACATCCATCTATCTATGTTCTCTAGCACCTTGCAAAGATTCTAATTAAGCAACAAAGATGCCGGGTAGTTAGAGCTCACCTATCCAATTCTAGGAGCAATGTCATAAACCTATGCCACTAGTATTTCAAGCAACGAGGGAGCTCCTACACATGCTAGTAAGCAAAAGCACAAAGCCAACTAAGCTCACTAGCAATACTCAATAACAAGACAACCAATGTCAAATTAGAGAGCGAAAATACTTAGCTACACAAACTAAGCAATGTGACTAACAAGGTTACACAAACCTAATTAGCCACGCAAGGGAGCTACTTCTATGCTACACAAGCAAGAAGGTAACTAGTGAGCTACACAAGCTAACTAATTATAAGAGCAACTACACAAGCACAATATATATGAAAGTAATTATAAGCTTGTGTAAAAGGATTGTAAACCAACGGGAAGAACAAAGTTGACACGGTGATTTTTCTCCTGAGGTTCACGTGCTTGCCAACACGCTAGTCCCCGTTGTGTCGACCGCTCACTTGGTGGTTTGGCGGCTAATTGTCATCACCCGCCAAGCCCGCACGTCGGGCACCGCAAAAACCTAACCCGAAAGTGAGGGTAGCTCAATGACACGCTCAACTAGAGTTGCTCTTCGTGGCTCCCGTGGGGCGAGCACAATGCCCCTCACAAAGCTCTTCTCCCTTCTCCGGAGCACTGCACAAGCTTCTTGCAGGCTTCGACGCAGACCACCACCAAGCCATCTAGGAGGTGGCAACCTCCAAGAGTAACAAGCACCATCGGCTTGTAACTCGATCACCTAGTGCCACTCGATGCAACCTCACGATGCAATCGCACTAGAATCGTTCACTCACTCAATCGGATGAACACTATCAAGCTAGAGTGAGTTAGAGGGCTCCCAAGCACCACCACATAAGCCACCAAGGCTCTAGTGTGCTCAGCTAATAGCCCAAGGCCGAGACCCCCTTCTATTTATAGCTCCCACAAAAATAGAGCCGTTGTATCCCTTCACTGGGCACAGCTTGGGGTGACCGGACACTTCGGTCAAATCGACCGGACCCACCCTGCCAGTGTCCGGTCAACGGATGGCCGCCACATCATCCCTGGCTTCAAATACTGAGCGCCCAATCTCAACGGTTAAGTTGCGACCGGACGCAGCACGGTGTATGACCGGACGTAGGACCTCGGCGTTCGGTCACTTCTAGTAAGGTTCCACTCATGACCGGACGCATCCGGTCATCCCCGACAAGACTCGACCAGCGTCCGATCACTCATTGTCTCCTCTGTGCACCACCACACCAGCGCGACTAGACACATCCAGCCAGCGTCCGGTCACTTTCAACGCCAGCGTCCGATCAAAGACCGACGCCTGCGCGTTCTCTGCTGTCACTGACCGGACGCAGGACCCCAATGTCCGGTTACTGCGTAACTAGCGTCTGGTGCACTCTGTGAAACCATGTCTTTTCTATATAGGGCACCGGTGGAGTTTCGAACCTTTCTCGCCTCCGTTTCATCGCCGAGTTGATCCACATCAACTCTAACTTTATCTCCTTTGTAAATGTGCCAACACCATCAAGTGTACACCACCATATGTATGTGTGTTAGCATTTTCACAATCATTTTTCAAAGGATTAGCCACTCAACTTATCACGCCACTCAATCCTAGCGACGATGCAAAGTTAGATCACTCAAGTGACACTAGATGACCGATATGCAAACAAGTTTGCCCCTCTTGATAGTACGGCCATCTATCCTAAACCCGGTCATAAAATTCTCTACACACCTATGACCGATGAAATGAAATGCCCTAGGTTATACCTTTGCCTTGCGTATTCCATTCTATCTCCTCCAATGTTGGTGCAACACATGCACCAACCAATCACCAAATGATATGGTCCACTTCATATCATCACGTGACCGTATTGGTTCATTGATCTTGACTTTACTTGTTTTTCACCATTGCCTTCGTCCATCGATGCCAAGTCTTGCTTAAGCTTTACCGCCACGCGGTCCATCGCTCCAAAGCCTCCGACTTGCCCTTCACGCTTGCAACCGGTCCATCAAGCCAAGTCTTGTCTTGATCTTCTCCACCTTCATTTGCAATGAGCTCCTTCATCATCACATGTGTAAGCTTTGCAACATCTCCAAGCCATTTTCACCTTCATGGCATATGTTGCTCACACACATGTACCCGTGGACTAATCACATGTGTATCTCACATAAACACAATTAGTCCACCTAGGTTGTCACTCAATTACTAAAACCATACAAGGACCTTTCAACGGGCCACCTTTCTTCCGGCGTAGGTTTGCTAATAGCCTGTAAATTTTTGTCTACCTTCTTTATCCACATTCCTATGTCCATGTTTGCTTAGTTTGGATTTATCCCTCAGGTTTAGGATGTCTCGTACGCTATACCTTCGCATAGCATGGGCGGCGACAGGGGTATGCCCCTGTATGCCAAGATTTGGGAGACAAAATTAATATGTATATATACACACTAATACACAGGCTTATACGTATCTTGTTACATTCCCTCGTAGGCCCAATAGAACAGCCATTTCCTACATCCCACGAAGGAAGCCCAGAATACATTCTGCGTGACTCCATCGCCCGGCCGCAGCACGAGCACGGAGCACCTCCCACACTTCGACGACCGGCGCCGCCGGGCAGCACCTCGCCACCTCCCCCACTCTGGCTAACTCGCCCTTTGCCCTCCACCTCGCCAGCTCGCCCGGTCGCCCCCTACGGCCCTGCCCTTTTCCCTGTTGCGGTTGCCTCCTCCCAGGTCCCAGTGTGAAGGAGCCGGCCACTGGCGGTAGCGGCGCCCCTTCTATAGCACCTTCTGGCGACCCGCGCCCTCCCTCTCGGCCTCAGCGCTCGGCGGCTTCAAGCAAGGTGAGCAGAGAAGATGATGTAAGTTCAATCAAGCCCTATTGTGGGTTTTGGTATTGATGATCACCAAATTAAAGGACTAATAAGATTTATCGAGATGACAAGTAGGGAATCAAAGAATGAGGATGATGTACAGGTTGTAGGTGTCCTAATTACAAAAGGTGGCTAGACCTAGCTCAAAGGAGGTTTAAATTCTTTTATGTTTTGAAATTGAGTTTAGGGAAAGCCCTACTATTAAGAGGGATTTTAGGACAGTTGGTCAACTGTTGAATCAGATGCTTAAATTCACAGATCTACATCCTCCCACCTAGTCAAAACAGCCAGCCAAATTTCATATCATATTACCTGTTTTGGCTAGGGTGGCAGTGCCGCCCTGTTAAGAGCGACAATGTCGCCCTTAACTGACTGTTGGGCTCGGAGGATATTTATACCCTTCAGGCCCGGCCCACAACGGTCATCTTCTCCACTGACTCACTCTGCTCGAAAACAGACAGAACCAAAGCTCATCCCTCTCCTCCATTGTTGCTCCTCCATCCCTCAACCTAATCCATGATTCCAACCATCAAAACTTGAGAGAAAAGGCAGCAAAACTCGACTAGAGAGAAGATCCACTGATTCCCAAAGTCTAAAAGCATTTGGTTCACGTTTGGCCAGCGGTTCTAGGGCTTGTTACTCTTGGAGCTTGCTCCTAGCCGGCTAGGCGTCACCCTTGTGCTTGCCAACTTGTGTGGCAGCCTTGGGAGGTTTGTAACCTCATTCAAAAGCTAAGAAATCACCCCTCACTTCAAGAGTTCACTCTCTTGATTTGAGAACGAGGGTAAGGCAAGCCTTGGTGGCAAGCTCAAGCCTTTTGTGGCTTCCTCAACAACGTGGACTTAGGCAAACCTTAGTGGTGAGCTGAACCACGGGATAAATCTTGTGTCTCGCGTGCTTCATCTTTACTATACTTGTTGTTTACTTTATTGCTAGCTGTTGTTAGGGTTTAGTTGCTCGATTTATTCTTGTGTGAAGTTTCTGTGGTATCCAGTCTTCGAACTG